AAAGCTCCAAACACTACAAACTTAGAAAAAATGTTTGTCTTGCCTAACAAACAAATGTTATATAGACCAAATAATAATTTGGCATACCCTAGCGAAAAGTTCTTTATCTTATACAGGGAAGGTACTCTTTTAATTCATAACCATTTGAATTGTAGCTGTTTTAAAATTAATATAAAAAGTAACTTGTAAAGTAAAATATTACTTACACTATGATTAAATATGATTCCTGTGGTTTAATTTGCTATTTGCTTTATCTAATGAACAATAAATATTGCTCTGTTTTCGTCAAATTCTGCCTATATACAATGTTATGTACATTTTTAATATAACCCAATGTACTTTTAATTTAATCCTAAGATTACGTGTGTATGTATATGATATTAGTGTGCTTGAATAAAAAATAAATGTTTATGTACCAAAATTGTTTCATTAAGTAATATTTTAATATAACTATATAATGCGTCGTTACGTTGATATCGATAAAATAAGAACATCCCTAAATATCGATATCGATGATTTGAAGGATGTGTGCTTGCAATCCCTAAGCTATATTTTTTTTTATTTTATCACTCATCTGTCAAACTGGGCGACTGCAGCGCCAAAAGGCATAGTTGGGAAACTTGACTAAAAGTCACTGTCGTATCTGTAGCTTGCTACATATATATTTATCTATGGCCCTATCGGCCCAATGTTTGTTAGGTATTTTTGATTGTTCTTTTCATTGACGATAGATGGCGGCCTGTTCACAAAATGATTATAAAAACTATAAAAATAATATTTTGGAGATTAAAAATTCTTTAGAGCTGAATGCAAAACAAATTTCAGCTACTTCGTATGATTGTTTTACCAATACAAGCTCTACGTACCTTTATATTTTTAGTTCCCATGACACAGTCTTGCCATCTAGCGTCGAATATATTTAATTATATTTGAAAGCCACCGCAAAGATTTTTCTAGAACTATTTTAGTAAATTAGGTATAAAATTACTTACAAATGAAATGTGATGCCATCCATAGCATCGGAGCGTCTATCTGAGTAGTTTTTACACGATAACACACAACACTTCATCCTTTTCTTCTTAATACTACGAAAACAGACCGATTTTCGCCACAAGTGCACAAGCCGAACGCTGACAGTATACTAACCTAACTAAAGCCACGCCCACTGCGATGACATCAGGACCTAGTTCAATAAATAATCACAGTGCACAGTTGCTTAGGCCGTTAGGCCGCTTCCTCTTTGTATTTGCTCCGTGTTTAAGCCCAAAGATGTGATGTGTGAAATATGGTGCTCCAGGTTTTTAGAATTTTTTTACAGGGCGATTTCATATTTGTATGGAGCAAAATTATGATTTTTGAAACTTAATAATATTTACGGATTAAAATAATTAATTATGTTTTTTTTTGAAAATCTTACTTGTTAAATCGAGGGTACAAGTATGTGTTAAAATAATGTTATTTTTTTGTTTGTAAAAAAAAAATGTATGGTGGTGGAGAAAGTTCGTGAAACGAAATTATGAATAATACATAATTTAGATCTTTATAAAAAATCCCCTATTTACTACTTAAGAGGTGGAACATTGTTAAACAAAACAGTACTGTTTTATTATTGTGCATAAGTTAGTATTATTGCAATTCGCAACTAGATGGCGTAAACGCTTAATTAAAATAAGGTTTGGTTACCACCAGGTTATATGAAGATTAAAAGATTTTTAATATAATTTTCCTAAATTTTAAATGCGTTATATTTATTTTTAAGTAGGTACCTATTTCAGTATTTGAATATTTATATGTAATGTATTATGAGCGCTGAATACTTTTATTTTTTTACTGTTTCCAACATACTCACCGATAAAGTCCTCTAGGCTGAATTTCGATCATGGTGGCCCGTCTCAAAGGAGACTACCCGTTTATGCAGGACTATAATGACGCAGGGCAGGATTATGGATCACGAGTACGCAAGCACAGGTGCACTTTTTATTCCCTCAGTCTTATAGTCCGATGGGACGGTAATTCGACATAAATAAAGAGAGATCGGATGCAAAACCAACGGCTTTACGTGGTTTCTGAGGCACAGATTTTGTTTGATCACATCTATCACTTAAAGGTCAAAAGACTTTTCTCAGTAGAGTTCAGTTTTATTTTTTAATTGTTTGCAGGATGTGACATAATATAGATACCTACCTAATTTCATTTATTTTTAATTGTATATTTCATTTCAAATATGACTCATACGATAGTACTAATAATTGGTTAATGGGAACCAAGTGTTGGCTTGAGAAATTCGGGAGCAAATTATGGATTGCGTTAATGCGGTCATTTTTTTTTATTATGAAACACAAGCGTATATTTTGCCAAAGTCGTTTATTGGTTCGTTTGTGGGACCATCCAATAGTTCGCTTGTGGGCCCGTCTCTTTTAAGGCCCGCCACATACAGTCGGAATTCCGATTCGAGATTACGAACGCAGCAAGTTCATATAAAATATATGACCCGTCACACACGTACGGTAGTTTTCCGTTCGAAAATTTGGGGGCAAAACGGGATTCCGTATGTGTGTGGCCGACCCGTTCGGAGTTCCGTATGTATGTGGCCGGCCTAATTGTTCGTAAGATTTCAGTCACACTAAGGCCGGCCACATACATACGGAATTCCGTTTCAGAATTCCGAACGCGTCGGCCACACACGTACGGTAATTTTCCGTTAGAAATTTTGCGGGTAAAACGGGTTGCCGACGGTATGTGTGTGGCCAACCCGTTCGGATTTGCGAAACGGAATTCCGTATGTACGGGGCCGGCCTAATTAACGCGAAGACCTCAGAATTTCTAGGTTTTCGCGCGCAATTATAAGTACAAATAAATCATCATCACTTATCATAACAAAAGTACTAATTGCACGCGAACGAAGTCGCGGGAACAGCTAGTATAATATAATAAAATTAAATCCCAACCCAAGCATACAACTGTAAAACACTTCAAGATACTATAAGCTCGTTCTGCGTGGGTCGGACGCCAGTCCACTCGTGACCATAGGTGCTGTAAAGTACCTACTCGAATTAATACGCGATAAAATCCGTAAAACCATTATTCTTTGGTAAAACTTGTTTTATAGTGTGCGCGTAAACATAAGTACCTAATCATTGCTGTTTTTTTCCACGAGCGACACAAATTATTATTAAAATTTACTTTGCCATATCAGCTCAATAAAATAAAATGATATGTCTACCTAGTCTGAAGATCCAAAGAAATCCAGCTCTGACCAAGTGGCAACAGACATATCGAAATCGACTGGGAATGGGTAGTAAAATAAACCTCAAAATATCAAATACAAGTGTATAACCAGTAACTATTGCCAGCAATGACCTATGGAACCGAGACATGGTCCTTTATTTTTGGACACATGAGAAAGCATAAAGGGCGTTTTGCAAGCTATGGATAAGATTGTGCTCGGAGTTACTTTCAGAAGCCTATATTCAGAAGTGAATTATTTTGTTGAATTATTAATTATGACAGGCTGTAATGGAAATCCAAATACAATTAATAAAAAATATTTATTCGTCACTAAGGGCCTCGCCTTTAAGCCTTCATTGCCAACAAAATATACATAATTTATCATTTCATAGTTAAATTAAATATATTGTGTTAGCAATAAAGGCTTAAAGGTTTAAAGGGTCTCGCAAAATTCATCTGGACTATCAGTCCCAGGACCTCCGTTCAGAAAGCACTTTACTTTATTGCAAGTACGTTCCATGGGCAGTACTCGTTGTCCCAGAACCCTCACAGTGCTACCACGACGTCTCAAGATCACTTCAGAGTTATGTTACCCCTTGGCACACTACACTAACATCACTAGGCGTTCGGGGACCCCGCCTTCACCACCCGCAGACCCAGAAGCCCTCTGGTAAGCAACATAGTTGAAGCATGAATGGGTCGGATTGAACGGGGAAGTACCACGCTATCACAGAATACCAGTGTAAAATAGCAGCTTAATTCTGCTATGTTACGTATGGTGAGTGTAGGGAACTGAAGATTCTTTTTAGTGGAAAAGACACATTCCATTGTAGTCCTCAGGGGTGACAATGCATTCTTAATCGAGGATAAATGTAGATGTCTATGGGCCACAGCATCCAATCACCATCAGGTGGCCTGTGTGCTCATATGTCACCCTTATTCTATAAAAAGAAACAACAAAATAAAGACTCTCAAAGGTCATATCAGTAAGCAAAGAGTAGAATGGCCAGCCACTAGATAAAGACATAACCTGGTAAGAGATGCAGGTGGTTGATGGCTGAAGGGGGCTAAGGACTTTATTTTGTGGCATTCCTTGTAGGAGGCCTATGTTCAGTAGTGGATTTGTGAAGAACTGTAAGAAATAATGATTATGATGATAACACAAAGTAATACATACAACATATTGGAGTATTAAAATTGTTGAGCAAAATAAAAATATAATAATTAGTTGGAAAAGTCATGTACAAATTATCAAAATCAAACTGTAGTGGCGGCACAAAAAAATCTACTATAATTCCAATTTATCACCCCATGGGTGTAGTGTCATAACAAGCGACAGAGTAAAGTAAAACTGGAAATTGACAGCCATCTAAAATTAAAAAGCTATTTGAGAAAAGCCTCCTCACAGCAACAGTCATTACTTTATTACTCTATATAAAATAATTATTGGGAAAATAACCAATAATAGTAGTGGTTTTATTACTCAATAAAACAATATTAAATAATATATATTGATAAAAAAGACTTAGGGCCAATTTTTCAAATGTCAGGTAAAAGTTATCCAATAAATTATAACCTGCCTGAAGACAAAAGTGAACAATTTTTATTTTTAATTTCTTTATCTTGTATTTTATTCTATGAATAACTTTTATCTGAGGATGGAAATATTCAGCCCTTAAACTATTATACATAGTGTTTAAGAAAAAAAAAGGAGTAACTTAATGTATTTTTACTATATATACTGTTGCATTACAATCATAAAAAGGCAGTTTTTAGGTTGCTACTGCTGCTTTTGCTTTGTTCTGTATTGGTAAGAACAACTTAAATTCAGCAGGTAGTTCATCTTCGGAATATAATCTATCAGAGAAATATACTCTTCTTATTCGACAATTTGCATGAATCTGAACCCGCAGTGTTTCAACATAATTAGTTCCATATGCTCGTCTGGTGAAATCGGCAAGATTGAACTGGATTTGATTCCATCCCTCGTCTAAACGCATGGGCATAGTACAAATAAAAGGTTTTACACGAGTTGTTGATTGATAATTACTTGCGCGGAATCTTCTTCTAACATTTTTATCATCTAAAACCTGTAAGTATAAGGTTAAAAAATAATCAGGCCAGGCTATAATATATATTAAATAATAAAATTCTAATTCTAATTTTTTTTTCAATAATCTATGTTTTAGATGCACAGTTCTTTACATTTTTTTTTATAACAAATCGACTAATAAAGTAAAATAATCACTAGTGTTAATTGCTTACTCAACACTTCTACAACAACTAAAGAAATATGTAAGTACCCAATAAACTATCAAGTTTAATTTTAAAGCCTAATGAATAAATTGTAATATGGTACCTAAATAAAATTTAAATATAGCGAAGTTGAAACACACCTGTACTTCAAACGTAAAGTACTTTTTGAGATTTTTTATAATCATAACCAAAAAAGGTAGTTTGATACCAAGAGTTTTCTTTGGATCTGCAGGACATGTAATGTAAGTGGTGCTGACATTGGTTCCTACTATCTCTAGCACAAGACTCTGGATATCGTTGTCTGTAATTCTCTTTATGTGCCCATTCCGGACTTTTTTATCCCAAATTTGTAATGGTTTGCTACCTATGCTGTAAAGAATTGAGAGAAATCCCGACTGAAAGGTGTTCTTGAACATTGCTAAAAGTTACACTGCACTAAACTAAGTAACTAAGTACTTTGTTACATTAACATATTATTTAACAAAAATGTTTAATCAATAAAGAAAACTTCCCGGTATATACAATGTGACATAGTGACAGTAAATACAATACAATCACGATAATTTTGAACTCAGCCACCATTGGCCATGTGTTTGTTATCATATAGGGTTACCATAGTAACAACATAGATAAATAAATATGTAGAGTAACAATAACAGACAAAATCCAAAAAGTTTTTCGTTTCTTGCATTTATATATTTTGGGACAAAAAACCATGAAAGGAAGAATAAGTATTCAAACGTAAAATATGAAAAAGCAACTTAGGTTCCAAAACTTAGTGAAGGGTAGTGTCTTTATTTACAGTTTATCCAAAAAAACAGAAAAAATACCATCAATTGATCTTATAGTTGGCACTGATGTACTTATTATTCTTCCATGCGATTATAATTAAAAGTTCATATAAATTAGACTTGTGAAGCATTTTATATTGCCTATACGAATTTATTTTATGTTTCAGTTGCTCCGAAAATTGGAACGTAATGCGTATTTTTGATTTTTTGACAACTTTATAATATTATCTGCGGCTGGGGTTGACGTGATTGGACGTGATCGGGAATGGGATTGACAGAAATCAAAATTCAGATAAAGTAGAAAGACAAGCACGCGAATAGCGGATCCTATGAAAACGATGCGATAATTGTTATATTGGATAAATCATTTAAGACTTAAAATTTAATACTCTGCATCGATTTGCAATTTTTAAGTGATAATGGACAAACATTTTGGTGAAATTCTAGGTGTGTGATTTAATAGTGTACTAGTGATACTGCAAACATGACGGAAAACTCATCAAAGAGGTAAGAATATCTCGTTGCTTACTTTCGAGTTTTGTTTTTAACCGATAGGTATTTACCTAACATTTATTATCCTGCAATTAGATTTGTCTAATTTTTCATAATGGTTCCAATTTATTACAATATTCACTGAAATTTTAGGATGTTTTCACTACAAAACACTAATTTAAAAGATAAACTTAAAAGATAAACTTGCAATAAATAAATCTATTTTGAAAATAAAACTGCAATTCAAGAACTTGTCAAAAATAACTCAAAAATAGAATAGAATAGACAATTATTTATTTTCTTTAATCATGATATATGGACTACTTACATTTATTTTTCTTTGCTCCATTTCTTGATTTGGTTAATTAGTCAATTTGTTAATACTTATTGAATATCATTCTTATGTTTAAGTTACTACTAGTTTGGAAAATACCTCTGTGCTGGGAGAAACAAGTAAGAAACCCAGTAGGATATTTTGTTTTGAAAAAGGAACAGTTTAAAGGCATAGTTTTAAAGCATAGTTCTTGCAACAACTACTGGCATAGGTGTGACATGAACATTACATAGCAACTTTATCTTGTCCATGTTCATTTTAATACCTATTCATTGGGGCAATAGTGTCCATTGAGGCAATTGAGCATACTGTGGAGATTCTAAATTAATTTTGGAATCAAAGGTTTTTTCATAGGCCAAATATGCAAGACAAAGAGGCAAGTTGTTCTGTTCAATTTACCAAATGTGTGTATGTTACCTATTTAGTATACTGATTACTTTATGACTTCTAGACTATGACAAACAAAAAAAGACATTTTAGTTTTATACTATTAAATGGCTTTTAGATGTAGCCAATGATGTTTAAATACAATTGAATGAAAACCATAGTTTTACAGATGCTAAACTTCGTTTTTTAATTAGCAGATTAACTATGCTCTCCAGTACAATTGTTTAACTGGTGGGAGTCATTTGCTGTCGAAAATCACTTGGCAACTACTTTAAGTATCTAGTTTTATATGGAGTACAAATTAATTATGTAGTTTTTTTATTGTAAAAATGCATTTATTTCAAAACAACTGTCTATAATGAAATGTCTGGTGAATACGGCAGATGTGGTAAAATGTCCCACTTGAGCATTTCTAAATAATTATTTGTGGCTTTTGTGACATGAGGCCGAGCGTTATCATGCAAAGGAATAACTTTGTCGTGTCTTTCCTAATATTCTGGTCTTTTTTCTCGTAAGGCCTGGCTCAAATGAATCAATTACAGTCTATACCGATTGCTTTTACTGGAATCACCAGGTTTTAGCAGCTCATAATATACTACACCCCTTTGGTACCACCACACACATAACCTTCGAACCATGAATTCGGCTTTGGTGTTGATGTCTATAGCAACAATTGATTGGACTTAGCATAGTATTGACTGGCAGTATAGATTTGCTTGTGAATTATTCCCATGGATTTTAATCATACTGAAACTGCTTGTTGTGTCATTTCCAATGATTCTGCAAGCTCCTCTTGCATTTGACTCGGTTCTTCATCGAGTCATGCCTCGAATTCTTTGTTTTCGAATTTTTTTGGCAATTTTTTTGATTTTTCGAATTTCGAATTTTCTTGAAACGTCAGAACCATTCCACACATGATTTTTATCAGTTGGAGCATTGTTACTATAAACTCCGCAAGCAATCAATGTGCTTCAGCTGCACTTTTCTTCCAATTAAAACTTACTCAAGCATTCTATGTGCTTCAGTTGCGCTTTTCACACAATAAAAACTCAAAGCTATATGCACTGTATATTATTCACAGGTGTATATAACCACTATAACTCAGTGAGCTATGAAGAGGGCTATGCTCGGAGTTTCTCTGCGTGATAAACTTAGGAATGAGGATATCCGCAGTAGAACCAGAGTGGCCGACATGCCCAACGGATTAGTAAGCTAAAGTGGCAATGGGCCGGCCATATAGCTCGAAGAACCGACAACCAATGGGGAAAATAGGTTCTTGAGTGGCGGCCTCGTACCTGCGGACGAAGTGTAGGGCGTCCCCCCACTAGATGGAGTGACGACCTGGTAAGACGTGCAGGAAGTCGATGGATGCAGGTGGCTCAGGACCGTGTTTTGTAGCATTTCTTGGGGGAGGCCTATGTTCAGCAGTGGACTAGTGAAAAGCTTTCTTTCTTTCTTTCTTTTTTTAATGTAATGATGATGATGTAATGATGATGATTATGATATAACCTCTCTGAAACCACCACAATCAGCTGTCACTATCAAACATACATGCTGTTATGAACCAACAGAGCCATCTTTTGAAAATGGACCAAATTAATTTGTACTCATATATTATTGTAATATAAGCTTTTACAAGCGATTTTATTGCATTTAATTTAAAGCTGATGCATTTTTTACTGAGGCTGCTCATAAGTGATTTCTTTTCTCAACAATATAGCAATCCCATAGCGAGCGCCAAACAGTCTTGAGTTCTGAGCTAAGCTAAGCCATTTTCTCTATTATTATAGTTGCCTTTAGCGAAATATCTCTTGACAGAGAATATAGACAGTAGAATAATGTGACACTAGTCTTACGTCCTTTTTGCACTTACACTAAATTCTGTATGCTATTCAGCTTTCACAGTAATTTTTCCATGTTTTACGCATTTTAGGTTATAATAGTTTTTGTTTACCTTTTAATGTGAGTGGTATTATTGTAATCGGGGATCAAATTTCTACCACCAAATAAAATACCTTACTCTGCCAAATTCGTCCCAAACTATTCTAAATCCAACCCAAACATTTTCCCAATTTCACACTTCTACGTCCAGCAGCTTTGGCTGTGATTCTTAATACAATATTTTTCAAAAACTTCGCACCTTCGTTTTAGTAAGTAAGGTACGTTGGGGTAAGATCGATGATGGGGCAAGACCGTAGGATTCAAATTCCCGGCGAATTATGCTATATTTTGAAAAGCTAACAATATGCTACACGACGCCATTTCATCCTGCCCCGACCCTCAGTTCGCGCCAGTCACTCCGGCAAGTGGGACCTGTGCTGCGTGGCATTTTATAAAACAATGTAATTTTTGTATTATTTTTGTCCATCCGATCTTTCCCTATCACTTTAATTTACGATTTTTAGCGAGAATATGGTTTCTTTTGTTATTATTTTGTGTGGATACTAATTTTTATGAAGTTATAGCTAAATAAAGCTGGTCCATGCAGGGGTGAGATCGCTGTAGGCCGAGATTCGATGTTTCCCCTCGTGAGTGAAGATCAGATGAATATTATCCGATCTTTGCCTGTTACAAATATGGCAGTGGTTGTTAAACTTTCATTGGTCGTATATATTTTTTCGTTGATTACTCAAGTGAGTATGGGACTCAGTCTCGTTAGCAAGTCTGTATATTTAAAAGTAATAAAACAATACGATGGTTTTATTACTTTTAAGTACACATTAAAATACATTTTTTTTATAGGATAAGGGTGACAAAGGAGCACACAGTCCACCTGATGTTAAGTGATTGCTGCGGCCCATAGACATCTATATCTATCCTCTATTACAAATCAAAATGTAATTTATAATAATTATTTAAAAAATAATTTAGAATAATGAATGCCGCTTTGTTAAAATATTTATATCTTCCTTAACTCCTGCGTTATCCCAGGGCATTTCGCCAGTCATTACTGGTATTTTTTTTCCCATATAAAATCAAATGCATCCGATCTTTCTCTTATATTGAGTAATTCCATCTTATGTCATAACAAAGTTTGAGAAACATAAAATTACAATTTCTTTATATCAGGGATAAGATCGGATGGCAAGAAACAAAAAAAGAGAAAATCGTTTGGAACATTTATGTTTCTAGTAATTTATAGATCATATTGAAATATGTTTTTGAGCATTAAATTTAGGACAAATCTCTTTTATAAACTTTTTTCTCTAAGCAGTAAAAGTGGTTTTAAATTTAAGTCCGGTCTTACCCCTTAATGGCCAATTTTTCATTATGCATATATAAAAGTATGTCTAGTTTTCGCACACCTTTAAAGCAGAAACCGTTGAGTTTACACAAGCAAAAGATTCTCAGAGCTAAACTACGTTTAACGATTAACGGTTTGCTCCATGTTCCATAAATCTGACGTATACGA